GCGTTGGAAATAAACTAATAAAACGCGTTGCGACGAGAAATCTCGTCTGCATCTATCATTCACGCAAACGCACACACATGCTATTTTCGTATGTTGAATACGTTGGCAAGTCGTCAAATATTTAGCCCAATCACTGAATAAAAAAACATCCAAGCACACGTGCACTGGCGCCAGATAAAGTGAAAAAATGAAAACAAAATTACGTCTGCACTGTGCATTTTTAACAATAGCCAAAACCATTAGGTTACATGCCAAAACTACCGACTCAGGATTCATCATACACAAATATAGCCACTTTCATGGAACTGTTATTTTTGTAATCCACTTTGTCAGCTCAGTTGATTTGGGAGCACTGATCCCAATTTAAAAAAAATAAAAATATTGTATAAAATAAAGACGCAGTTCCGTCTGTAGTCATATCCAACAGTTCACATGGACGTACTGGGAGCTCCATGGTCTCAAAAAAATCATGTGTAGCATTATCACGCGCAACTTGAATGTAAATATTATGCAATAATAATGGTAAAGTTTAATCTCTGACAAATAAAAAGACGCAACAAATTGACCTGGTGGTGTATTTGACCTCGAAAGCTACTGCATAGCAAACATAAACAAAATGATTTATAAACAGACTATAACTACAAACTAAACAAATTCTACTCAAATTAATTCAACAGTTTTGCTTTCTCTGGCGATCCTGTGCATAAAACTGAAATTTAAACAGGTCGGCATTTTACCGGTAAACCGGAAAATCAATGCATAAATTAACTTGTCAGAAAAGTGAATTGCCTCCTGCCAGTACGGTAACGGCCTTGCCGGTACGGCTAATGACCTTCGGGTACGGTAAAGAACCAGCCGGTACGGTAAAGCAGCGGCCGGTATGGTAAAGAAACGCATGCTGCAGGAGACTCACAGGAAACCGGCTTGGTGGTAATGATCAGTTCCCTTACATAATGATTAATCAATTTTCGGCTTTTCCACTGATATCTCAAGTACTAATCATAACATGTCAATAAAACTTGGGACATAGATGTCATATGACACTGCACAGACCTGATAGTTTTTAGGGTAATATCAGTACATATTAATTACCTAATTTGCATAATTAATTAATTTTCAGCTTTTGATATTTCAAGTAGTAATGATCATGTTTCAATGAAACTTGGTACATAGTTACTT